TTCTCTCACACACTACACCTATTTACTATCCTTTACTCTCACCTTACCCCAGAATCTGACCTCCCACAACCTCCCTGCTTTATAGATCCAACTCACAACCCCTCCTTCCACAACAAGAGTCTTATCTTCTTTCCATCCTTTCTAAAAATCAGATAGCTGGGTGGAAGATCACGGTTAACACTATACATAGTCAAAGGATCTCCTATCTCTTCCCTACTTGCTACTACTGTAAATAGCATAGAATTCTCTGTTGCTGTCTTAAACCATTTTGCCTTCCCCCTTCAACTGTTGACAAAAAAGAATAGGTGGAGGTGGTGAACACCAGGATACCCACTGGAAGAGGAAACCCAACAACAAAGGAACCACTAACAGATAACAACAGAAGAAGGTGAAGGAGGGAGTCGTAACCACACAAACCTCAATCCAGGGCCTATCTGGAAATACAACTAAACAGTAGAGATAGTACCCAATACAAACAACTGAACAAGAGCAAGAGAGAATTCTTTAAACCTTATACACACGGAAGAACCAGCTTCAACACAATCTGCCCTCACCAGCAAAACAAAATACAGGAAGTGGTGGACAGAGTGACCCGCATTTAACCAACTGGTGGGAAGGAACCACCAAAGACCCAACAACAATCAAAACCCAAAGGCAAACACAAAGCCAACTTAAATGACAGCCCAAGACCAGTGAGCTTGGAAGATCAAGGAAACTGCACCACTGAAACTCACTGCTATTCTACTAAAGAAGTTCACACCACAAACCCAGGGAGCCAGAACTGATCAATTGAAGAACCTGAGGCTAACAAGAAGAGTCTCAAAAACAATGGGAAGACAAAGAAACAATCCCCAAATGAAAGGAAAGGAGGAAGCCTCAGAAAGAATGCTAAATGAAATAGAGGCAATTCAACTATCAGATATAGAGTTCAAAGCAATGATCATCAGGAAGCTCAATGAGCTCACAATGAGCTACCAGAAACTACAGGGAAGCTACAATGAACTCACTGAAAACTACATCAGCATAAAAAAGGAAATAGAAACTCTCAACAAGGGCCAAGAGGAAATGAAGAATACAATTTCTGAACTGAAGAACACAGAAGGAATGAAAAGCAGGATCGATGAAGCAGAAGATCGGATCAGTGAGCTAGAGGACAAAGTAGAAGAAATCACACAGAAAGAGCAAGAAAAGGAAAAGAGGCTCAGAAATAATGAAGAGGGATTAAGAGAAATGCAAGACAATATGAAACGTAATAATATCTGTTTAATAGGGATACCAGAAGGAGAAGAAGAAGAATAAGGGATAGAAAACCTATTTGAAAAAGGAATGAAGGAAAACTTCCCTAATTTGATGAGAGAAAAAGTCACACAAATCCAGGAAACACAGAGTCCCAATCAAGACCCAAAGACCCACCTCAAGACACATCATAATTAAAATGGCAAAATTTCAAGACAAAGAGAGAATATTAAAGGCAGCAAGGGAGAAACAGGAAGTAACATACAAGGGAGCCCCAATAAGGCTAACAGCTGACTTCTCAATGGAAACACTCCAAGCCAGAAGAGAATGGCAAGAAATATTCCAAGTAATGAGAACCAGAGGTCTGCAACCAAGGCTACTTTACCCAGCAAGGCTCTCAATCAAGATAGAAGGCCAAATAAGAAGCTTCTCAGACAACAGAAGTCTAAAAGAATACACCTCCACTAAACCAGCTCTGCAAGAGATGCTAAAGGGACTGCTTTAAGGAAAGAAAGGAAAAAAGAGAGTAAGAGAGGAACACACGTACATAAAAGGCAATGAATAAGTACCTATTAATAATAACCTTAAACGTAAATGGATTAAATGCTCCAATCAAAAGACATAGAATAGCTGATTGGATAAGAAAACATGACCCACACATATGCTGCCTATAAGAGACCCACCTCAGGATAAAAGACCTGAACAGGCTGAAAATGAAGGGCTGGAAACAAATTTTCCAAGCAAATGGACAGGGAAAAAAAGCCGGGGTAGCAATACTCATATCTGACAAAAAAGACTTCCAAAAAAGGACTGTAAAGAGAGACCCAGAAGGTCATTTCATAATACTTAAGAATCCACTAAGAAGACAGAAATATTGTAAATATATATGCACCCAACATAGGAGCACCCAAATACATAAAGAAAATCTTAGAGGACTTCAAGAAAGATATTGACAGCAACACAATTATTGTGGGGGATTTTAATACCCCACTATCAAAAATGGACAGATCTTCCAAACAAAATATCAACAAAGATACTGTGGCGTTGAACAATACCCTACATGAAATGGGCTTTACTGATATATACAGAACCCTCCACCCCAAAGAAGCTAAATACACATTCTTTTCAAATGTACATGGAACATTTTCAAAGATTGACCACATGATAGGACACAACACAAGCCTCAACAATTTCAAAAAAATTGAAATCATACCAAGCATTTTCTCGTATCACAAGGAACTGAAGCTAGAAACCAACCCCAAGGAAAAAAACCCCAAACACTCAAATTCATGGAGATTAAATAGCATGCTATAAAACAATGAATGGGTCAAGAATGATATTAGGGAAGAAATCAAAAGGTTTCTGGAAACAAATGAAAACGAACTCACAACAACCCAAAACTTACGGGACATAGCCAAGGCAGTCCTGAGGGGGAAGTTCATAGCGATACAGGCCCGCCTAAAAAAGTTAGAAACATTTCAAACAAACAACCTAACCCTATATCTGCAAGAACTCTAGGAACAACAACAAAGACAGCCCAGAGCAAGCAGAAGGAAGGAAATAACCAAGATCAGAGCAGAATTAAATGACATAGAGACTAAAAGCACAATTCTAAGTAGGAGGGATCACAATACCTGACACTAAACTATACTACAAGGCCACTGTAATCAGAACAGCCTGGTACTGGCATAAAAACAGGCACATGGACCAATGGAACAGAACAGAGAGCCCAGAAATAAACCCAAGTCTCTATGGTCAATTAATATTTGACAAAGGAAGCAGCAACATAAAATGGAGTAAAAATAGCCTCTTCAACAAATGGTGTTGGGAGAACTGGACAGCTACGTGCAAAAAATGAAACTTGAGCACCAACTTACACCTTATACAAAAATAAATCCAAGGTGGATAAAAGACTTAAATATAAACTGACACCGTTAAAGTCCTAGAAGAGAATGTAGGTAGGAAAATCTCAGATATTTCACGCAGAAACTTTTTTACTGACATGTCTCCTAGAACAAGGGACATAAAGGAAAGAATAAAGAAATGGGACCTCATCAAAATAAAAAGCTTTTGCACAGCTAACGAAAACAGTATCAAAATAAAAAGAGAACCAACTGTATGGGAAAACATATTTGCCAATGATACTTCAGACAAGGGTTTAATCTCCAAAATATATAACGAACTTACATGACTCCACTCTAAGAAGACAAGTAACCCAATTAAAAAATGGGCGAAGGACTTGAACAGACACTTCTCCAAGGAGGACATACAGAAGATCCAAAGACACATGAAATGATGTTCAATATCGCTAGCTATCAGAGAGATGCAAATTAAAACCACAATGAGATACCACTTCACACCAAACAGAATGGCCATCATAAACAAAGCAACAAACAACAAGTGTTGGAGAGGTTGTGGAGAAAAGGGGACCCTAGTGCACTGTTGGTGGGACTGCAGACTGGTACAACCACTATGGAGAGCAGTATGGAACTTCCTCAGAAAACTAAAAATGGATCTGCCTTTTGACCCAGCAATTCCACTGCTGGGACTATGTCCTAAGAACACTAAAACACCAATACAAAAAGAACCTTTGCACCCCGATGTTCATAGCAGCACAATTTACAATAGCTAGGTGCTGGAAGCAACCTAGATGCCCATCAGTAAATGAATGGATCAAAAAACTATGGTACATTTACACAATGGAATTCTATGCAGCAGGAAGAAAGAGGGAGCTCCTACCCTTTGCAACAGCTTGGATGGAGCTGGAAAGCATTATGCTAAGCGAAACAAGCCAGGCAGTGAAAGACAAATACCATATGATCTCACCTTTAACAGGAACCTAAACAACAAAACAAAGAAACAAGCAAAATATAACCAAAGACACTGAAATAGGGGACAGACTGACAGTGACCAGAGGGGAGAGAAGAGGGAATTTCAAGGGAGAATGGGAAGGGTTTACAGGAACAAATTTAAAGGACACATCGTCAAAAGCTAGGAGGAGGGTGGTAATGGGAGGGAAGTGGGGAGTGTTGGGTGGGTGTGCTGGAATGGGAGTAAAAGGGAGAAAACTGTACTTGAACAATGATTAAAATAAAAGAAAAAAAAAAGAAAAAAACCCATAACTTAGATACCCACTTTATTTTTACCTTTAATGAATTTAGAAAACTTCATTACAAATTTAATTTCCAGTTCAAGAATGGCTTAAAAGCAAATAAAATTAATTATTTAAAAAGAAATAAGGGGAGGTTAAGAACAGTATAGGAAATGGAGAAACCAAGGAACTTACATGCAGGACCCATTGACATGATGTAAGGGGTGGGGAATGCTGGGTGGGGGTTGGTGCAGGGCAGAGAGGAATAAAGGGGAGGAAAAAATGGGACAACTGTAATAGCACAATCAATAAAATATACTTTTTTAAAAAATGGATTTTAATACTGGAAATTTTTTCAAATTCTGGGAAAATAAGAAAGTTATTTTTCTGGATATTCCTATCAACACATGATTGTGTGCCCCTTTTTCATGCTTGTGATAGTTCTCCTGTGCTAACTTGACTCCTGCACAACACCCCATCGCAGCCCTCATGTCCTGTGTTTGCCTTGCCTAATTTTCTCCTTATTTACTCCCCTAGAGCATAGAAGTTATTGGAAAAATACAGATTTGTTAAGTTCTTTGAAACAAAGCCTACATTTTGTTTTCTGAAGTGCTTTTAAATTTACTTCTAATGAATAAATTATAATGGAAATAATTTCAATTGATGCAGAATTTAAGGTGTTTCTACGCTTTCCAGTAAAAATCACAGTGATCTAGGCTAATAGGGAGGAGGCAGAGTTTAATCAAAATTGAACTTTAAGATATATTAGAGTGGAAAATGTTTGTCTCTAAAATGTTACAGAGGGGTGATCCATGATGGCTAAGCAGTGGCATAATGCGTATAAATGGATGCTCCAAACCATTTTAAAGATGCTCTTCTCATTTCCAGAACCTCCTCATTGTGTTCATCTCATTAACTTGCATTCAAGACTAAAGCATTTGTGCAATTCCTAAATTCCAAACTAAAGTAACTCCTGTCTAAATTCCAAACTAAAGTAGTAGGATCTTAAAGTATTATATGTGACCTAATCGTGCTGTTGGGCCTTATAAAGGGCCACGACTTTCAAATATCCTTTATATGAAAGGAAACCCATTGTTCTGAATGTTTCAGTTCTTGACTGACAGAAAACACGAGGGATATTTACCTTTTGACTTCAACTCCGCTACCAGGAAAACCTTTCAAAACAACACTTATTCTCTGGGGCACATTTTATTGGAGGATTGGAGACACTACCACGTTTTTGCTAAACCTGTTTTTGTATAAAGGGAGTACAACTGAAAAGCACGTATGGTTTACATACTTTCACGGCCGTTACTCATTTCTTAAAACTAGGGTAAGGTCTCTACAGCCTAATTACGAGTAACCTTACACATTTCTTACCCCATTCCACCTACTACTTTGTCCTTTCCTGTCTTAAGCACCTATGCAAATCTGAACTTTCCTTAATTTTCTTTAGAAGCTTAAAGCATAAGGAAGTGCTAAAACGTTTGCTCGTTCTCCCCCTGAATTACCACCGTGTCACGCTCTCTAACCACTGGCCTTTAAAGGCCCCTGACACAACTACTTTATCCCTCCTTAAACGTTTAGGAAGAGCAGGAGCTTACACGTAGTCAATAGCGCCTAGATGGGTCGACTACCTTAGATACATTTCCGAAATGCGTACTGTCTGGGCGGCTCACGTCCCCAAGGTGGGCTTAACCCTGCGGCTAAGGGATGCAGTCCTTTCTTGACACACGGCTTGCAAAAAGAAAAATACTTTTTACATATATTCATTCACTGCTTTCCTCGCTAAACAGTCAGGTCGGAGACGGTCCAGGTGATCACCCCATCGGATAAGCAATCAGTACTCATTTGTTTGTGGAAGGCGGTGCGGGGAGCCGGGGTGAGAAAGACCGGAAAGAAGCCTTGCGCAAGCGCACGAAGGCCTGCCCCATTGGTCAGGTCAACTCGGAAGGTGGGTGGCTGGGGCAGTGCTCCCTCTGCGCACGCGCTGGCCGTCTAGCCGGCTGTTTTAGGTTTACGCGGTCGGGCGGATCCGTTTGTATATGCGGGATGCAGCCATCAGGTCCGAACTTCAAGTAACGGTGTCTACGCAGGTTTTCTCTTAGCTTATGAAATTTTCTGTTTAAAACCGTGATGCATTCATGCTCAAGTACCTAAAGTCTGTCAGACTGGGTTTTTCAATGTTCTCAAAGATGTCCGAGTTGGGGGGAGGGGCGGTGAGAAATAGTTTCCGTAGAGCTTAGCCCCGCCCCGCCGCTTAGACTGCTCTGTAAATTCGCAAAATACCCGACATTAATACCTTACTTTGCTGACAACGCATGAGGCCTTTTCAATAATACTTTTCAAGTATTCGTTTCCAGGGGGAAGTGAGGAAAAACCGGTGGTCCAATCCATGCTGCTGAATCAGTGTATACAGTAGTTTAGAGACGATCCAGAAATTATAATCATTAAAGACCATTTGTTTTTCAGTCTGATGTTTTAATCTTCATTTTGCTGGGCAGAAAGCCAAAATACCGGGCTGCCTGGTTCAGAGCCTGACGCCTAGCCAACCTACAGATTGGAGCTTCAGAGCCATGGCAACGAAGGAGTCAGACGTCCAAGCAGAGTCGGCCCTCACCTCATCAGCCAATCCCAGCAAACAAGAGTCTGAAAACCCGAACTATGCTCTCAGATGTACTCTGGTGGGACATACGGAAGCAGTATCATCGGTTAAGTTTAGTCCTAGTGGAGAATGGCTAGCAAGTTCTTCTGCTGATAAAGTAATTATAATTTGGGGAGCCTATGATGGAAAATATGAGAAAACACTTTATGGTCACAATCTGGAAATATCAGATGTTGATTGGTCATCAGATTCCACTTGTCTTGTTTCTGCCTCAGATGATAAAACTCTAAAGATTTGGGATGTGAGATCTGGAAAGTGCTTGAAAACGCTTAAGGGACACAGTAATTATGTGTTTTGCTGTAATTTCAATCCACCATCCAACCTCGTAATTTCAGGATCTTTTGATGAGAGTGTGAAAATATGGGAGGTGAAAACAGGAAAGTGTCTCAAGACTTTGTCTGCTCATTCTGACCCAGTTTCTGCTGTTCATTTTAATTGTAATGGGTCCTTGATAGTGTCTGGTAGCTACGATGGTGTCTGTAGAATCTGGGATGCTGCTTCCGGTCAGTGTTTAAAAACACTTGTTGATGATCCTAACCCGCCTGTCTCTTTTGTAAAATTTTCTCCAAATGGTAAATATATTCTCATTGCAACTTTGGATAATACTCTTAAACTGTGGGATTACAGTAGAGGTAGGTGCCTGAAGACATACACTGGTCATAAGAATGAGAAATACTGCATATTTGCCAATTTTTCCGTTACTGGTGGAAAGTGGATTGTGTCTGGTTCAGAGGATAACCTGGTTTACATTTGGAATCTTCAGACTAAAAAGATTGTACAGAAATTACAAGGTCATACAGATGTTGTAATCTCAACAGCTTGTCATCCTACAGAAAACATCATTGCATCAGCAGCATTAGGAAATGACAAAACAATTAAACTGTGGATAAGTAACTACTAAACTCTTTAGAAAGCAAGTAGTACAGCCAAATTGGATAAAAGATACTTAAAAAGATAGTTTCTTTTCATTTTGGCATGGTTTCATATTTCTTTTTACCTTTGCCTTGGGTTATTAAGATTTTAAGACCTATAACCTAAATTTACAAAACAAGACAGTTGGAAAAGCAAGTCTAGAACCTAGGGCTTCCGACTTTTAATCTTGAAGTCTGTTATTAATCTCTTATCTGTCCCTAGACAGATTTCCATTCTATTCCTCTCTTTTTTAAAAGATTTTATTTTTAGAAGGGAAGGGAAAGGAAGGAGAAAGTGAGGGAAACATCAATATGTGGGTGCCTCTTGCACGCCCCCTACTGGGGAGTTGGCCCCTAACCCAGGCACAAGCCCTGACTGGGAATCAACCTGCAACCTTTTGGTTCGCAGGTTGGCGCTCCATCCACTCAGCCACTCCAGCCGGGGCCCATTCTATTCCTCTCAATTACTATTGTAGAGGATTGGTATAATGATATTTGAGAAATATTTAGAAGATTCACAAGACAGAGTGATTGATTAAATGAGGGGAGCAAAGGAGTTTGGAATAATTCCAAGGTTTTTGGTTTGGGAGACCATATGAGTAAGAGCATAAGTCTGTGAAGATGGTGGATTGAAGATGCATGTCAGATGCCACTCACACACTTAAGTGATAAGCCTACATGATAGGACGTGAAGTGGTCCATGGAATCAAGCCAGCAGATTAGGAAAAAACAAGTGGTTAGATTCATTCTAAAAGTCTAAAACATTATAAATGTCATTTTACTAAAGGACCCCTTGATGCTTTGTCAGGTTGTGTGCTCATGATTTTCAAGCAAACTAAATGTCTGAGTGGGAGGCTGCTCTTGCATTGTGTGTCTGACCCACAGGCTCTCACCCATGCTTCAAACTTAGTTCAGACATCACCACTTTGTGAAGCCATCACTGCCTGCCGGACTAACCACAGCTGACAGCTGAGTTAGGTTTTCCTGCTATTTCTATAGTTTCTGTTAGTAAAGTTAAAATATACCATTTACCAGTTGTACTGTAATAGTTTCATGGGCCATGTTTTCAGTATATTATGTGCTCTGTGGAGTCAATAAGTATGTCATATTATTCATCTTTGTATTCTCACTTTTTGTATATACAATGGACTCAAGTAATGTTTGACAAATGACAGCAAATTACACCACCAACACTTCATTCTTCACCTGCTTTCACTAAATTTTCAGAATCATTTCCCCATACTATTATTTTTTTTGATTAAAATTAAAAGTGTCCGAGTAGAGCCTCACATATTAACTTTATTCCAATAGGGCTTTTAGAAGATAGAAAATGGTTTCTGCCCAGTATTTACAGAGACATGATGAAAGAAATCTAGAAATTAAGCAAAAGATAGTACATCAATTGAAAGGATTAAGAGCAAACTTGTCTTCTTTTCTATTCTATAGTATCTTATACTAGTGCTCATTATATCTGATTTGCTTGACTAGTTCTGAGGCACATAAGATATTAGAGTTACTAGTAGGGTATGACTGCTAAGAAGTTAGTATGTAAGGATACTGGGAGAAATGGGATTAGATGGGGGCAGGCCTATCTAATTCTGGCCAAGAAATTTCTATTTAACCCATAAAGAGATAGCCACTATAAGTTACTGAATACAATGACACAAAATGAGAAATGATTGTGCAAATTCTTGCCGCACTGTAACATCTATGAGCTTTGGTTTAATGAAATATTTTTATAACAAGATAAAACACTTTAAAATGCTTCTTTAGAAGTTAATGGTAATTGTTCTATGAAGAAAGATTACTTATTATTTTTTAAAAGATTTTATTTATTTATTTTTAGAGAGGGAGAGAAACACCTGCCTCTTGCACGCCCCACACCGGGGACCTGGCCTGCAACCCATGCATGTGCCCTGATGGAACCAAACCAGCGACCCACTGGTTTGCAGTCTGGCGCTCAATCCACTGAGCCACACCAGTAGGGCAGACTACTTATTTTTTTTTAATTGTATTAAGATTTACTCATATTTATAACATTGGTTTAGGTAACATAAGTGTTAACATAAGATAACAGTAACATTAGGTAACATAAGATGTAACATAAGTGTTCCAAAATAATTATGAAAAAATAATCTGTAAAAATGTATGAGAAATGATGCTTTTCCATAATTTTCAAGTGATAAAAAACAGAATTTGGTATCTAAAAAGTAGTTATGGTTAAATTATCCTAAAATATATAGACAGACATCATTAACATCAGATAAATTATGAAGCTATAGGTAGACTAGTATATTATATTTTACTGAGTATTTTATTAAATCAAGTTCCCAAACAGCAGCATACACTGCTTTTTAATCTGTTACAACCCTTGTAGGAGACCCAGCAGGTTGATATGGCTATGAGGACCTCTTATCCATTTTTACTTGTGAGAAAATAAATGAAATACTTAAAATAGAAACCAGCACCCATACCTAAATATGAGACAACTTGGCATCCCAAAGGTACAAATGCTGATCTTTCAACACTAATGAGAAAATGCATTTGATAGGTTTTCATAACTGAATTTAGTGTAAAGGCAGCAGGAGAAGGACCAGGTGGGAATTCGAAGCCATGGAGCAGAATAGGTGACCGTGCTGGCCCCAAGCAACGTCACAAAGCTGGGATTTCAGAGTTCTCAGAAACTTATGGCCATATCACTCTCCTCACCTTGCCAGGACACCTCTGTCTGCCAGCACACACCAAAATGGCAAAGTATGGTCTGAATGCTTACCAGGGCTCTGACAAGAAGCTCCCTAAATGCACTTGGGCAGTGTACTCAACTGGCCTGTCTTATGTCTCCAGGATGAATACAAAGGAGAGAGAGATGCAGAAAAAGAAGCCATTTTAGCTTCTGGGGAGAAGTCACTTTGGCAATGGGAATCAAAGATAGATACAGTACCAGATTTTAAGGGGGAGTTAATATTAAAGTCAAAATAAGTTGTCTCATTTTTCATTCTCTAATTTTCATAAAAAATCTGAGAAACTGCATTTAGCCTGCATTGAAGCCATGAAATGCAACAAGTCAGTTCTTTTAAGAAAATTTATTTGTACCTCTAGAGCAAAACAGGGAAATGGTATGTTTGTACCAACCATGCTTGTACGAAGTGGATCCTCATACCACATTCTTTTTAATACAGGCTATTGCCGAAACATTATTCCTGGATTTTCAAAATCCAGCCAACATGGATACCTCTGCTACTCTGTTTTGGCCTTCATAGCTGCTTCCTCTCTCAGACGAGCTTTCTTTTCTAAGTTCAGGCTTGTTAAAGATTCATGTCTTTTGGCAGCCTAAAATGAAACAATTTGAACAAGTAATTATTTATGCCCAATTGGGAGTGATGTCATTACCTTGCACTGAAGTCAGCGGGGTACCAAGAGCAGTAGAAGAACGGATGGGCCTGCTGCACGATGGGCCCCACAGTCCCCTCTGGGTGACTTCTGCTTCCTCTGATGCCTCCCAGGACAGTAGTCCATCCATTCAAGCACTGCTCTTCCTTCTGGCCTCATTCATTCAATCTTCTAGCCTCTCTCCCTTTTTCCTGCCTTCAATATTAAATGCCTTCTCATTTCCATTTTTATCCCCTTTTCTTTTGCTTTTCTTTGTTGCTACCATTTTTCCTCCAAATCTTATAAACTTTCACACTCTTCTAGCTTCTTACTCCTTTTTTTACCCAAAACATTCAGCTTTGGGGATCCCAAATTTCACCAACTACTACCATTGATGACTTCCAGCCACATATATCCTACTAGTCCATCCTTTGAGAGCAAACAGCAGTGGGGGAGAGGCACCTGTCCTTTTCCCTTGCTTCCCTCCCTGTGAAGCTTGTATTACTAGACCAGCTTCAAAATTTTTATACCAAACAAGTGACACTATCACCCTATAAGGTAGTATTTTCTTATATCTGTGTAATTTCGTATGTAAAGAAATAGGTATGGGAAGGGGAGGAGACTGCATGGCAAGTAGGGGGTGAGCACAAAACAGAGTGGCTAATTTCTCTCTTGTGATTCACATGAAGTTCAAAAGTTTTCCATTCCAGTGGCATCTGCCAACTTTCTAGAAATAGTTCCATAAAAAGCAAATAATATAGTTTTATGATACAAAACAGGAGAGAAACTCTCTAAAGAACACAGTGTGGCCCTGACTGGTATGGCTCAGTGGGTTGGGTGTGAAAGGTTGTCAGTTTGATTCCTGGTTAGGGCACATGCTCAGTTGAAGGAGTGCAAAAGGCAACCAATTGATGTTTCTCTCCCTCCCTTCCCTTATTTCTTAAGTAAAAATCTTTAAAGAACGCAGTGTATATACCCTTGGATGAGGCTAGAGGAGATCCTAGTATCTTCCATTCCGAGACTAAGGAGAGCTAGAAGTTTGTTTCCTTTTACTCTAGACTGTTGGAATAAGGAGGTCAGTTATCGCTGGGTTGAGAGAAAACCCTTTTAAATGTGATAATAGATACAAGACATCTCTTTCCAAAGGGAAGCTGAGATACATGGTATTAAAATAAAGGTTTGTTTAGTCCTGACCGGTGTGGCTCAATTGGTTGAGCACTGTCCTGCAAAAAAAAAAAAAGTTGCCAGGTCAATTCTGGGTCAGGGCACATGCCTGAGTTTCGGGTTCAGTCCCTGATAAGGATGCATACAAGAAGCAACCTATCGATGCTTCTCTCTTACATCACCGTATCTCTCCATCTCTTTCTCCCTCATTTCCCCTCTCTCTAAAAATAACTAAATCAAATCTTTTACAAAATAGATATCTGACCATTGCTGCTGCATATAAAAGTAACTATTTTAATCACAAGATAGTACAATGTGAAGTTTGATAACTTGCAAATTTGGCTCTCAATTTTTATCTTGATGCTTATTAGCTATGTGAATTTGGGGAAATTATTCAACATCTTTTTTTAATTTTAATTTTTTTAAAGATTTTTACTTATTTTTATAGAGAGGGAAAGGGAGGGAGAAAGAGAGGGAGAGAAACATCAGTGTGTGGTTGCCTCTCATGCACCCCCAACCAGAGACCCGGTCCGCAGCCGAGGCATACACCCTGACAAGGAATCGATCCAGCGACCGACCCCTCGGCTTGCAGGCCCACGCTCAATCCACTGAGCTACGTTAGCCAGGGCTATTTGACATCTTTTTAAAAAAGATTTTATTTATTTACTTTTAGAGAGGGAAGGGAGGGAGAAAGAAAGAGGGTAATAGTAATGTGTGGTTGCCTCTTGTGCACCTCCTACTGGGGACCTGGCCAGCAACCAGGCATGTGCCCTGACTGGGAATTGAACCGGCAGCCCTTTGTTTCATAGGCCAGCACTCAATTCATGGAGCCACACCAGCCAGGGCTATTTAACATCTTTTAAGCTTCACGTTCTTCTTTTATGAAACACTTAATAAGAGAATCTACCTCTTAGGTTCTTAGGGTTATTGTGGTAATTAAATGAGTTTAACTGCCTGCTATATATAAGCACTCAGTAAGTGGGAGCAATTTTACTATCATCTCAGGTTGAGGTTCAAACTGTGGCTCTGCCATTAGGGAGATGCATGACCTTGGGCAAGGTACTAAAGCTTTCTAAGCTATGTTTCCTCAGCTATAAATAAGGTCCTAAAAATAGTACCTACCTTGCAATGTTGTGAGGTTCAAATGAGATAACAGCAAAGTATAATACTTGGCAGACAGGTCATTTAGTGATAGTTATTAATAATATCTACATTAATGCAATGATTTTTGCACTTGAATTCCTATGTACTGCTGAGGAGCTATAGTCTTTAGACATATGGCCCAGCTTGGCTGAGCTCAAAGCAAAGACTGTGGTAAGACTGCTCACTAGGATTAAGGCACTTAGAAGGGGGATAAACAAGCCCATGTACTGACAGTGCTTTACAGACATGCATGGAGCTATCATTAAATTTGTCAGCGTCATATTTCCTTCACATTATTTATGAAATCTGTTTATGAAACTAAATACTTTTTATGAAACTAAATACTTTTTACTTTGCACAAAATTTAGTACTTCTCTTTGCCAAGGTTAGGATTTGCTGTTTATCCCCAGACGTGATATCCTAGGTTTGCTAGGTTTGTCCCTGCTGTATCTTACTTTGTGTCTTGTAATTTCTTGTGTAGGAAGTAGCCTCCACTTCTCAGAGAATACGAGGGTCCATCCCTGATTGCCTCTTGAGGAAAAGAAAGATAGAGAGAAGTCCACTCTTACCTTCTTGCCCTCAATAACCATCAAGATGCATCCTGCCACTGTCAGGGCGATCATTACATAGCTGATCTTCACCCGGACCTTGTTCTTTGCAGCATCGAGCATCTCAAACCTAACAATACAATGAGACCAGGAGAGAGAGTTCACTTTCTGAAGTTGCCAGCAGGATATAAAGCTCTGTACCACAAATCAGAAGTGGAGTGGTACCTATAAATATTAAAAAGGGGGTGGGGCCTGGAGATTTTGTAGGACTTTAGTGTCAATGGGGCATTTTCACAACTCACTTTTTATTTACATATAAAATACAATAAAATAGCACAAATCTGAAGTAGAACAGAAAAGAGAAAGTGTGAAGATAGAAAGTGAAACCAGGAACAAAGTCTCCCCCCTAAAGGCAACACATATTAATTTATGCTTGCTATGGTGGGCCCTGAGTTTGGCTCTCAAGTTTCACATTAGCAGCCAAAGCTAAAAGTGGAACCAATAGCTGTTTCTCCTTGAGGTTCTCAAGAAGATATTCTGTGATATAATGATTCTCTGAATAATACCCTGACAACAGATACTGCAATGAGCCTCATAAGTTTCAACACAAAGCACAATTCAAAAGAAAACAAACACAGGAGAGACTTAAATAATGTGCTCTTTATACCCAACTTTTCTGTTCTCTGCCTTGAAACAGGAGTAGATTTGAAAATATCTGGAATAGTATAAAGACCCTTTACACAATACTCCCTTAATGTTTATCTCTTAACTAATGTTTTGCTAAAACTGAGTGACAGTGAACTTTAGCTCTTTGGCAAGTGCCTCTTTAACCTGTTTACTGAATACAGATCCATGTGCCTTAATGGAAAGTTAAGGGTTAGGGTTAGATTATCAATCTTATGGGAAAGCTGAGAGGCCAAACAAGAGAGTATGAAGAGCCCTGGCTGGTGTGGCTCAATGGATTGAGTGCTGGACTGTGAACCAAAGGGCTGCTGGTTCAATTCCCAGTCAGGGCACATGCCTGGGTTTCAGGGCAGGTCCCCAGTAGGGGGTACAGGAGACACAACCACACATTGATGTTTCCCTCTCTTTCTCCCTCCCTTCCTCTCTCTATAAATAAGTAAATAAAATCTTTTTTAAAAAGTCTGAAGACAAGGCCCTTCCACTTTGGTGATTCTGCAGTGGGTGGAAGCTCTATTACTTGACTGTTTGGTAGAGCTTCAGGGCCGGGCATGTAGAGTCCTAATGGGCACAGGATAGAGAACTGGGCTACTCAGTGTGTTATAATTAAGAAATGATTATCTCTAGATGATAGGATTGGAGTGCTAACTACCCCCCACCCCCATTTTAACACATACTACATTTTAAATCAAAGAACAAAAAGTACTTTAAAAGTGCTTAGAAGGAAGCACAGGATCTGGGACACAGCAGGTAGTAGGAGAAGACCCCAAAAGCATATACATTGTTATGTGAGAGCTGGGACCCACTGAAGCAACAATGTGCATGGAGCGCTTCCGACACTGAGGCTGGCGGGGCCTGCAGGTGGGAGAAACTAGAGACAACTGCTAAGGACAGCGAGTTGCTCTATTAAGAGCATCTAAGATCCCCCCAACCACAAACTAACTACCCATGTTGACAATATTTTATGTGAGCTGGTACTTTTCCAACTGAAGTACTGTGATCCTCATGA